ATTTCACAACTTCGAATCAATCAATAGGCTAAACTGCATTCGGTACTAAAGTTGCTGCACAGTACTTATCTCTGATACGGTGGTTCTGATAGTAGTCAGAATGGGCGCAAATGTTTTCGTAGCGTGATTCTCCTCAATTTCCATTCTTTTGCAGAAACAACGTATAGCAAGTGCTGTGAGTAGGCATAACAAATCGTCCCGGTTTAGCTCCCAAGCTTTCGCAGATTTTTTATTTCTGTAGTCTTTGCTCCCAGCATTACCTCCAGGTACACAATATTGTTTACTTTGAAAATTTTTTGTTCGGAGCCGGTTTGAAGCTGAAGCTAACCACATTGCAATGATACTAATAGTAAAACTATGACTGGCATGACACCTTTAATAGAAATGATCTTTGAAAAGTGATTAGCACTTTACTTATGCTTTGTGTTGGACTGATATGAATCAGCGTCCTCTGAGGATTACCACTCATGTTTCATTACAGACAGTCCATGTTATAGTTGGGATGTCCACTTTATCCTACGTACGCCATATGTTTCACAAATGTAACAAATCAAATTGCGAAAAGCTCTGTGATTTCTTGCTTTGTGATCCCATAAGCAGGGGAAAGAAGGTGACAACAATTCTCGCAATAAATCACTTGTTTTCGGTAGTCTCACGTTCTGCCTCGTTTCTCATAAGCTAGAGTTTCCTCTCCTGAGCCTGCTTACAAAGACTTCTCCATGCCATCCTCTGCCGTACACTCTCATTGCAATTCTGACATTGCCTTGCTTTTTTCAGGAACAGGTCAATGCTGCTGCCCTCGAGTGATCTGTCCAGCGTTCTAAGTATCTCATCTCAACGTCGGCAAATTTTAAAGAAACTTGAATACCACAACAGTTTGCCCAATGTTACAATGATTTTCTAAGAAAACCTTAGCATCCCTGACAACGAAAATCAACTTGAAATCCAGATTGCTAAATTAGCGTAACTTATGGCGCGCTATGCAGAGATCCGCGACGCAGAGGACGCTCGAACCAGTTGCTGCTTTTGTAGATGAGGGATAATTGAGACTAACAAAGCATGACATCATTTTTAATTAAAAAAAACTTCAGGACCAAGATAATTCTTGTTACGTTATGATCAAGGAAATCCTGGCTCTAGATTTTTTCGGCTTGTAAAATCTGAAGCTGCAAGCGAGGAGTAAAACCTGTGAAAAAAATATTGCAGTCACAGTAAATCCTACTGCCCAGCAAAGTAATGATTTGACTTGTCTGAAGGATCAAATGTGAAAGCTATTTGATTTGAGCTATGTACAAGTAAGATGTCATTGATCTTAACTCTATAGCAGTGCAGTGGTGAAATCAGTTTATTTACTTTACGACTCAAAAGGAATGTTGGCAAGAAGGTGTCCTAAAGCAAACTTCAAACAATACATCGATTAATTTGAAAGCCCATATGCTATGGTCAGAAGGCAATAACCGCTCATGCTTAGGTAGCAATTGATATAAAGAACATGTACATTTTAGAAGAGTTAGCACTTCAAAGGAATTACCCATAATATATGTACAAGCATAGAATGTCATCAATCTTAACTCTAAAAGTATCACGGTAGAATCACGCTGAGAACGCAAACCTTTCCCCTAAGTTGAAATAGTAAGCGGCACCGGCAACTCCTGCAGCTGCCACCATAGTTATAGCGTATCTAGAGATCGGACCCCATCTGTGTATCGGATTTCGATTATTCACCTTAAATTTGGAAATATTGTTCAAGATAACTGGACGAAACCTCAAATCTGCCTGTTCTTTATATATCCGCGTAAATTCGGTTTTCAATGCAAACGGTGGCATAAGTGAGGCTAGATATAAAGAATCTGATAAGATAGCATCTGAATGAAGTTCATAGGGCATCGTTGAAAGCAACTGATGTATGATAGGCATTTCCCTTGAAAAAGATTTGAGTAGCTTAGCGTTTGCAAGATAATAATTGTATGATATGAATCACCGTTCACTTGTGACAATCGCAGATTTTCTTTTGAGAACGATAGCTGCACATACATAGATAGGTGTTAGAGGAGGTGAAGCTAAGAATACGTCGAAAAATCGCACAATCTGCAATATTTATGCTTATAAGTACTGACCAATAAAACACTTCCACCTGATTGCTTTTATTTACAGTCTTCTTTTACTCGATATTAAAGAAAACAAACGCAACTCACTTGTTGGTATTGTTCAAGAGAATGGCTAAACCAAGTTAAAGGCCAACTAAGCGCAAACATTGTACCCAGGTGCACATCACGCATAATTCTTTCAAGCTGAGGATCAACGCGGGATAAAATCACATACCTGTAATTAATAACAGAACAGGAGAAAAGCGGAAGAGAATTGTAAACTTACAAAAGGTCAAGCTCCCGAAGCACACTCTGCTCCAGCGATTTCAACAAATAGGATCGAAAAGGACCATGCCGAGCAAGATTTTTGCACACCTCCAAGGCACTCTTTTCGCCACACACCAAAAGTATCGTGAGGCAAACGTCATGAAAACCTTGAATAATAAAGTCTAGAATTTCGTGGGATATGCACGAGAATAGTACTCGCTGGAAAACAGTGAAACGTAACCTTGATAGTAGTGAAATCGTGAGTTGCTTTTCAAGACGCGAATTATAAGGGGAGTCAACTGGTCTTGTAAGATTGATCTGCGCTCATCTGATATATTAGGTGGAAATCGCGCTAGCGTTCGCTGAACATCCAATTCCACCTGAATTATGCACAAGTTAGTCTTGCTACAGCAGTTGATAGAAAATTCAAAACAAATACAGAGGTCAGTTCGATCCTTCCCGTTCTCAAAAAGAAGGAAAAACCTTCGCTTTGGATTTCCAGAAATGCAAAAACGTACAGCTTTGAGCTCTAATATCTTCCCTCGACAAGCTACAACTAACGATGTGGTTACCTGTTTTT